CCATTCGAATTTAAAATTTAAGTTTTACTACAGTAAAAAATTTTCAGAAACAGTTATATCTAATTTTTTTTATTATAATAAAAAGTTCACATAAAATTACATATAAATTCAAATTAAAAATTTGAATCAACGAACTAAACGGATCTTAAATGACAATCCCATGCAGGTCTTTGTCGGTACAAAATATGGGAATTTTAATGGGTTTTTTTTTAAGAAAAAATACTGTAGCGAACCATGAACCATGATTCGAATCCTCCAACTAAGGGTTTTTTTTTTTTTTTTGGGTTAGATAAAATGGCCAAAGGAGCTACATAGGGCCTTTGCCTCAAATATAGAACCACACGATGGAGTAATCATTGAATTGTCCCATGAAAAGACAAGTGGTTAATTATGAATGCTGATTAGAGTTAAACACAATGACCAATAAAACTCCCTGCAGACTTTCATCTAACCACACAACATGAAACCAATTCCTCTATGTTTGTGTTCACACAGATATATCTTTATCTATGCTTAAGTGATATCATTGTTGTAGTGGCAAGATTTATATACACACACGGATAGATATATATATATATATATATATATGTATATCCAGAAAAAAGACAATTCTGTTGACCAAAAATCACATTTGGATTTGGCTCTTTCAACATCAGTCCAAAACACTCTTTTGGTTCTACCAATAAGCACATGCTTCCATGTGAAACCACACAAATGGAGGGCTGCGATCATTTCATCACCCATAACATCTCCCCCTGATCAACGGCTCAGATTGAAACACTTGTATATATTTATCATATAGAAAAAAATGGGGGTTTTTTTTTTAAATAAAGTTTGAAAATGAGTTGAATACAAATCTACAGTTACACTACAATATTGCCCCGCAGTTGGTAGACAATTTGAGAGTACAAGTGTGTGGAACAAACCATAAACAAATATAAAAAACGTTCTAGTGTTTGGTGGCTACTCCGAGGACAAAAGCTTATAAATATTGAATTATTAAGACATTATCAGTTTTTTTTTTGTTCTTACATTTATTTGTTCTAGAAAAAACACAAAAATTTTGAAATGTCCACTCAATGGGTCATTCGTGTCCATTTTCCAGTTGCATGCTTTGCATCTGAAAGATGTGGGACATGGGAAATTGTCACACATCACCATCCTAAGTTTATCCAATCAATTATAATAATAATAATAAAAAAAAACAACGGACACTTGTCTACTTTTCAGCAACATATTTATAGCCAATTAATTAGTCAAAAACCTGAATAACTAGTTTCAAGCTTTTTGAGCTCCTTTTATCTTCTTATTGTTTTATTTAAGAAAATAGGCGAATATGAAAAGTTTAAGAAAGTATATAGGTTAATTTTTAGTTATAAAAATTAATAGGTCATAATTTATCAAGTTATTATTCATAATTAGATAAGTTATGAATAAATTTGTTAAGTTATGGTTTATAACCAGACAAGTTATGAATAATTATGGATAATAACTTGTCAAGTTATGGTTCATAACCAGATAAGTTATAGACAAAAACAGTAATTTAGCCTATTTATTAACTTATGTAAACTATTGGTCTATTAATTTTAATTCATCTCATATCTTAATCTATTTTCCTCTTTCTCCCTTATTTATTTCTCAATCTGCCATTTATTTGTGACCAAAAGGAAGAAAAAAAGCCCAGCAAAAAATTTGGATCATTCTGTCGATGTTGGACCAAATGTGGAATATACAATGTTCAATATTATATATATATATTACATTTTTTCAGTATTTTCAGTATTTTCAGTATATTAGGCACCAAAGGCACTGGAATAAACCTGGAAAGTGTCTTTTTACGTTTATATAAATAACACAGTTCTCATTACTCATAATGAGGCCCATAATCAGGACGCTGCCTAGGTTCCTTTAACTATTAATTTAATCCACAATCTAGGTGGCTATAACATTAAACAAGTTAATTTCTTGCATATGCAGCTAATAAAGTCCTAATGGTTTTGGTTCCATGTTAAATTTTGGTATTTTTTTCGGGTCTTCTGTTCCATTTTGCAGATCTCGGTGAAGGTCCAATCATAATAAGCCACTTTGTAACTTGCACACAATTAGACTGTTAAAAAAAAAAAAAAACAATTTTATTGCTTATATTGTTTGACTGATTAGATTTCAAAATTCAAATCAAGTCATTAAAAAAATACCTAGACATGATAGTCACTAATACTATCCTATTAAATTGATTTGGCTTTGCCTAAGCATTCATCTTATCTCTTTGAAACAATAATTAATTTTAAAGAATCCTCCTGTAATTAATTAATTTATTATGTGGAGATTGTTTTACTTATTGATCTGGTTACAAAATAATAATAATAATAATAATACTAAAGCATCCTCAAAAGGAACACCTGTTAACTTTTGGGTCAATTTATTAGCAAACTTTTATTTTTTAAGGAATAAATTTATTACCAAACTTCGCCTACATAAATTAGGTCTATACTCTTCTTTGACCCGTGAAGTAGATGAGCAAAACTGCACAACATTGGGAATACTATAATAAGTATATCTCTTCTCTTTAATTGACAAATACCAAGCAATAAAAAAGACTATATAGAAAACCGGTTATCTATTGCTTTCGTGTTTTGTATAGTAAAAACTATACATATGAATTGCTATTTGTAATGTCATTTTATGCTTTGAAATATATCATCCGTTTCAAACAAAATAAAGGCCATATAGGAAGTAAGACAAATAAAAATATAAGCGGTGTTTGGAATTGATCATGATTTTATTTTTCACATTTTTTGAGAAAAAAAATATAAAAATGTTTCTAAAATGACGTTTGACGCAATAAAGATAAAAAACGGAAATGAAAACGATTTTTTAGTTTAGTGTAAAATGAGAGAGAAATGAAAAATGACTTTTAATTGTTTTTCATTTTTTGTTTTTGTTTTCTCCTCTCTCGAGCAGAGAGATAAAGAAATACATTAACGAGTTTTTTTACACTGAAAACAATCTCTTGATAAAACTACCAAACGTATTTTTAAAAATAATTTATGTATAAGATTGAAAATGTTTATATTTTTATTTTTATACAAAAAATAAAATCATTTTAAAATGAGTTTCAAACGCGTTCATAACTCAAACAAACACTATAGAACAAACAAACCAATACCATAGTACTCGAAATACGGAAATAAACAACGCAATTAAGAAAAACCAAGAAATACACAAATTGGGAGAGCGAAATGAGAAACAATAAGCATGGTGCTAGAAATCAGGGAACTGAAAATGGAAAATTGAAAAAACTTGCTAAACAACGAAGTGGCGTCTTCAACCTTATAGAGGCAAACAACATACTTTTGAAATGTTTTCGAAATAAATAGTATATATTTAAAATACTTGAAGCAAATAAAATATTTAAGAATAAATATTCATTTGCTCATTGCAAATATATTATGTACTAATAAATTGGTAAATACGACATTTGCGTCAAGTATTTACTAACAAATAATGTATTTATATCGGGTAAATAAATATTTACCGTTGAATGTACTATTTACTAAAATATACTATTTACTTAAAACATCCTTTAAAAATGTGCTACTTACTACCTTTTGAGTTTTCCCAAAGTTTTTGAAGACAATCTCCCTGGATGAGAAATTTACATATACAATCATTCTTTTTTGCTATCTTTACATTTAAACCACTCAAACTATAAGTGTGTGCCACTTAATATTCTTTTTTATTGATTTAATAAAATGCATGTTTTTACTGTGCCACTTTGATAGTATAAATTTTAATTAGTACTATTTGAGTGGTATTTTAACAAAGTAAGAACAAATTAAAAAAAAAGTTTGAGAGAATTACTAAATTTACCACGTGTCTTGATTTTTATTTTTTACTTTTGATTAAAATACATTTTTACTAATATAATTATTTGACTAAATAAATATTAATCAAGAGTAAGTGGTAAAAATCTAGACTTACGGATGAGTATTTGTCTCTTTTTCCCTTTTAGGTTGAGATATTTAGGAAATATAATATGATTTTTAAGATTGGATTGACTTTTATCATGAGTCCTAAAACTATTATAAAATATAACACAGTAAAATATCTAAGTTTTGTGTTTTGACTAAAATTACGCTTGTACTTCTAGTATTTTAGATTTTGTAAGATTTTTTGTGCTTTTTTGTGTATATATTTATAATTTTTAAATATCTTAAACTGTGACAACTTATGTTTTCTAAGATATGTCAATCTAATTTCAAAACATGTGGTATTGTTGTAAAGTCCCCTTTCAGGTTTCTCCCATCACAAATTGGGTTAGGCCCAAAAAGGCCTTACTGTTGGGCCCAAAATTTCTTATGAATCTAAGCTCATCTGGACTAATGATCAAGTAGGTCCAGGTCAAGGCCCATCCTGCCCAGAATTCAAATCATTTGACTTCGTACTGACCGGTCCTTAAAAAGTGGGCCAACATTTTCTAATCTACGACAGACGGCGACGTCTTATTGGATGATGACGCAAAAAATCAAAACTAATTATTCCATAATCTCAGCCTCAGTATTCTCCATTCTCCAATAAGACTTTTTATTTAAAAGAAAAAAAACTGAATTTCCTTCAAATTACCCAACCTGTAAATCCTCCAATAGGAATTGAAAAATAAATTTTTAATTAAATTACCTAAATTAATATTTTTTTATGAATATCTCAATTTATTATTTTAATCTTTGTCATGAATAAATATCTTGTGGTGGGACAGCCATTGTTTGCTTCATTTAGTTGTTTTGGAGGAATCCTCTGTTTCTGTCTCTGCACTTTTCGATCACTAAAGAAAGTAAGAAAAAAAACGAAGCCGATCATTTCATCATTTTCTCAGTTTTGATTAATCAGATTGTGTTTATGTTTCTCTTGAATTACTCATATTTTTAGACTTTTTTTTTTTGAAAATTTTTTTTATTGAATTTTTCTCGTCCATTAATTTGTATTATCCGTATATCCTTTTTATTAGTAGTACCGCCATTTCTGAGCTCAGTTTCCGAGTAGGGTTTTTGGAGGGTCCCGATTTTGTTGGATTTTCTGGGGTTTTGGAATTCTGGAGGCTTTTCTAGGATTTGAGTTGGAATTATGGCTCGTTTGGTTCTTCCGTACAAGAGTTCGGGTTTTTTGAGGACGAGTTTTTTGGGCTTAATCTCATCCGCGCCTGTGATTAACCATTTCTTAATCATAATTAATTGTTGATTGATTAATCGTTATGTGTCTGTTTTTGTTTTCGTGTGTGAAAATGCGTCAATTATTGAAAAGTTCACATTTTTATGAAAAATTTGGAATCTTTGTCACCAAATGCTATAATTTGAGTCACGATTTTGTTCTGTTGTGTTCTTCTGATTCTTTTACATATTTAGTTTGTTGTTTCTCATTGTGAATCTTCACTGATTTTGGTTTCTCGTCCTCTTTTTGGCAGCTTCAGCCAACGTGCTGTGTTGGTTTCGAGAATTCGGCAAAAACTATCGGTAAATACCGGCGTTTTCTTTCTTCGGAGGTTTGTGGATTCCGTCTCCTCATAGTTGAATATAATGTCTTATTTTCTATTCTATGGTTTTCTTTTCCAGATTTTGTGTTTTTATTGTTACTTTTGAGTGCTTGTTACATCTGTTTGAATAGAAGATTTCTGAATTCTCTATATTGGTGTTTCTTATTTTTAGCTCACGTGCCGAAGGCATTTTCGTTTTTCATACCCTTCACTGTCTGTAAGTTGCTTTGAATTCAATGGAATCTCTTGGTGCATTGGCTTTATGTATACATGTACGCATGTTAGTTTGGTCATAACTGGTAATTCTTTGTATCTCAGAGGGCTAAGCACGTGAGCAGGAGGCTAATCTGTTCGGTTTCCACAGAAACCTCGCCCAAGCAAGTTGACGAGTCAAAAATGGATGTACCAAAAGAGATATTCTTGAAGGACTACAAGAAGCCTGATTATTACTTTGACACGGTATGTATCTAAGTGAATTATACATATTGGGTTTGAGATTTGATTTTCTGTATGTTGTACTGTCTTTGTGTACTAAAGTAGCTGCACACTTCAGGTGGATTTGAGATTTTCTTTGGGTGAGGAGAGAACGATCGTTAGTTCAAAGATATCTGTTTCCCCGAGAGTTGAAGGTAGTGGGGATTACTCGTTAAACTTATCAATTCTTGGAACTATATTAATCTTTCATATTGTGGTCGTTTCTTGTTCATTTGCATTAATTAATCAGAAAATTTCTTCATTTTTCTGTAATAGGTGTTACAACCTAGTAAAGTAGTACTCTTGTCTGTAATAGGATATTGACGCGACTATCTTGCATAGCAGGTTCTTCTTCTCCATTGGTGTTGAATGGCCAAGATATGAAGTTACTTTCACTCCGGGTCAATGGCCAAGAACTCAAGGTATGTGAATTTGGTGGACTGAATCAGTACCTGGGATTTTTAAAAAAAGTTGTTATTATAGCAACGCATTGGATTTTGCTTTTTCTACTTGATGCCTAGCTTGTCATTTCAATGTTGATACTTGACTTGTAGTTTGCGCTTAGTTACTCTCTACTCATATGGTATTATCATGTATCACTCTATATCCATTTTCTATGGTAGGAAATGTGAATTAATAGATGCTCACTGTAATCGATTTTTTTCTTGTATAGGAGGGTGATTACCGTTTGGATTCTCGCCATCTGACACTTCCTTCGCCTCCCACTGGTGTATTTACCTTGGAAATCCTTACGGAGATATATCCTCAGAAGAATACATCACTAGAGGTGTGCAACAAGACTATTGAATTTGAGAGCCTTTACAAGACGAGCGCTCTTCTTTTTTTTTTTTTGTTTTTTTTTTGGGGTGGGTGGGGGTATGTGTGTGTGTATGATATATTTTGTTCTATTTCAGGGGCTTTACAAGTCATCAGGGAATTTTTGCACACAGTGTGAAGCTGAGGGCTTCCGTAAAATTACTTATTATCAGGTTCCCTCCCTTGGTGCAGCTGTTCATTTTGTGCTCTAAATTTGATATGTTGATCAAGTCCACTAAATTAAAGTATTCCCATTCTGAGCAGGACCGCCCTGACATAATGGCAAAATACACATGCTACATAGAAGCTGACAAATCACTGTACCCTGTCTTGTTGTCTAATGGAAATCTTGTGGAGCAGGGAGACTTGGAGGTGGACTTCTGTTGTATCATGTCAAAATAATATTCTTTTTTTTTAGATTTCATTTTATATAATTTTTTTTATGCTGCTGCGACTTAAATGTAAATAGTATTATGCTTTTGTTTCAGGGTGGAAAACATTTTGCCCTTTGGGAAGATCCCTTTAAGAAACCTTGTTACTTGTTTGCCTTGGTTGCTGGGCAGTTGGAGAGCAGAGATGACACATTTGTTACTCGCTCAGGTAGGAAGGTGTTGCTGAGGATCTGGACCCCAGCGCCGGACGTTCCAAAGACTGCACATGCAATGTATTCGCTTAAGGCCGCAATGAAATGGGATGAGGATGTCAGTTTTTGCTTTTTGTATTTAACAATAATTTTCATTTTGATATCAGTTTATTCTTTGAATCTTGATTCTAAGGCCTACTACTGTTATATGATGCTGATAACAGGTTTTCGGTCTTGAATATGACCTCGATCTTTTCAATGTTGTAGCTGTACCTGATTTTAACATGTAAGTTCCATTTATAACATGGGTTCAATTTTTTATTTTGCATTCCTCATGTTGGTTTCCACACCCCCAACCCCCCCGCCCCCTAATGACAACCATTATAGTAATTGTGCTATAATTACTTACTGCCTTTTGTTTTGTAATTAATTTGCAGGGGAGCTATGGAGAACAAGAGTTTGAATGTATATTTTCTGTACAATTTGGAGTTTATACAGTAGATACTCCTCCCTTGATCTTAGTAAATTATTATTCTATATTCTTCAACAGATCTTCAATTCCAAACTCGTGTTGGCATCTCCTGAAACTGCTTCAGATGCAGATTATGCTGCAATTTTGGGAGTTATAGGGCATGAGGTTTGTTATTGACATCTTTGAAACAGTACTTATGGATCAATGTGCTGTTATGATCTGAATTCAGATTGAATTGATTTATAACATTTTTGATGTCATTTTTTGCAGTATTTCCACAACTGGACTGGCAACAGGTGGGTTCAAATATAGACATAATATTAGTATTCTTTTGTACAATATGCGTTCTCTGTGCCTTTCTTTGAGTTTATTCTTTTAATTCCAAGTATGTTCTGATGGCTACATATTAGATTTTATATCTCAATGTGTCATCTGTCTATCTCTCATTTGAAATATGTGTCGGCCATTAATTGGGGTTTAGCATTCATATTCTGGTGCTCCCATTTCCTTTTGGTTAGATTTCTTAAACATTGAAGTTTGAACTAAGCGTTTTGCTAAATCAATTCCAGAGTAACATGTCGTGATTGGTTCCAGCTCAGCCTAAAGGAAGGTCTGACCGTCTTCCGTGATCAGGTATAGCCTTTTAAATTTTTTGGTTGTATTGTGACATTTGAAACTCTATGAGAATAAGGTTTTAGATTGATATGGTAAAATGGGGGGTTTTGCCTTTTCTAATGGCTTTTGTTATCTCGTTCGTTATTGTAGGAATTTTCATCTGACATGGGCAGCCGAACTGTGAAGCGGATTGCTGATGTTATGAGGCTTAGAAACTATCAATTTCCACAGGTTCTTTCTTGAATTCTTTTGTTACTAGTATAGTAATACAGTATGTTTAATATTCATAATTACTAATTTTTTCGGCATTTTCAGGATTCTGGTCCCATGGCTCATCCTGTACGGCCACATTCATACATTAAGGTTGGAAATCAATTCCTTTTTCACTTTTGACATAGCTTATTCTTCTTAAGTTGTATAAATGTTCTAATCCTTTATCAACCTTTTTTTGGCTTTCCGTTCTTTGTTTAAGTTCCTTTATTAACTATTTGCTTTGCAATGATGTTCACTTTGCTTTTCCTACTTTGACAGATGGATAACTTCTACACAGGTAAGCTTTTACACCCACACATATAAGGTATATACATGGTTCTTGTCATGGTGAATGTTTTTATCATCTAACGTTGGGGGTTTTGGCTTTCTTGTTCAATCTTGTTTTCATATATTGATCTGGGGTCGCAACCAACTTCAACTTGCAGTGACGGTATGATTTAGTACTTATCACTGTATCTTATGAGCTTTATTTTTTCATATATGTATTCTTGTCAAGAGATATCTTACTCTTGGTTGTTTTTATTTTCTTCCTGACAGGTGTATGAAAAGGTTTGACTTTATTCAACTGCAACCTCTTTGTTTTGGTCTGTGTATTTGTATGCAAACATGTGTTCAGAGAACTGTTGTTAAAGGCATGAAGGGTTTGTTTATGTAATCCATCTTATCAGGGAGCTGAAGTTGTCAGGATGTACAAAACTTTACTGGGGAGCCAAGGGTTCCGAAAAGTGAGATTTAGTATATGTCTCAGCCTAACTGATCTTTGTATAAGTGAATAATATTTGCTTCAAAATTATAAGCTGCATTTTGAGAATTTTTATTTTTTTCCTTCCTATTCAGGGCATGGATGTTTATTTCCAGAGACATGATGGGCAAGCTGTAACCTGTGAAGATTTTTACGCTGCCATGCGTGATGCCAATGATGCAGATTTTGCTAATTTCCTACTTTGGTGTGTATTTATTTTTCTTTTCACATCTTACCTCTGGTCCCTGGGATTCAATTGATTAATTGATTGATTGTTTGGAATTTTTTATTTTTTATTTTTTTTTTGCTCAACCAATATGCAGGTACTCGCAAGCTGGCACCCCTCTTGTTAAAGTTACATCATTTTACAACCCCGAAGCTCGTACTTTCTCTTTGAAGTTCAGGTATGCAAGGTGGAAATGTTACTGTCATTTTCTGGTCTAGTTGCTGACAAATTGTGCTTGCTGGGGCATTTTCAGTCAAGAGGTACCTCCAACTCCTGGGCAGCCAGTTAAGGAACCCACGTTCATTCCTGTGGCATTGGGTTTGCTGGATTCAACAGGCAAGGACATGCCTCTATCCTCTGTGTATCATGATGGGAAATTTCAAACTATCTCAAGCAACAATGAACCGGTTTACAGTACGGTTCTTCGAGTAACCAAGGTTAGGGAAGAACTGTTATGTGAAGCTTGTGCTTGCTTAATCTACAATGTCTTCATGATATTTTGTGGCCAGCGTTGTTGTGTGGCTGGGGGTGGGTTTTTGTGGGGGGCAGGGTGTTATTGTATGATTTTTTGTCCCACGATTTTATGCATGAGAGTAGGGTATATTAGTAGTTCTGTTCTAATTTTCAGGTTAAAGAAGATATATGTGTAATCTATCTGCAACACAAGAAAACAGTAACGTTTGATATTGTTTTTACTTATTAAGATGCTAATTTTGTGTGGTGTCAAGTTAGGAGAACATCAAATTGGTTTCGTATGCATGCAAATCGCCTGTTATTAGAACTAACTAAGATGGTTTTTCTACAAATACTTTAGAAGATTTTGGTCATTTTTCCTGTACCAACCGTTTTTTTCTTGTTTTTTCTATCAAACAGAAAGAAGAAGAGTTTGTGTTCTCTGATATAGCTGAGCGTCCAATTCCATCTCTATTACGGGGATATAGCGCTCCTATTCGTCTAGATTCTGATCTCACTGATAGTGATCTGTTTTTCCTCCTTGCTCATGATTCAGATGAATTTAATCGGTTTGTATCCCAAAACTGCAACACAATCCTGTTCAACACATGAGTAACTGATTGTGATTTATTTACTGGTTCTTCCTTCTGTTCTAGTTGGGAGGCCGGACAAGTGCTGGCACGGAAGCTGATGCTCAGCTTGGTTGCTGATATTCAACAGAACAAACCGTTGGTGCTTAACCCCCAATTTCTGCATGGGCTAAAAAGCATACTGACTGACCCAAGCTTGGATAAAGTATTACTGGACATCTTTTCTTTTTTATTTTGAGATGTCTTATAGGAGATGATGAGGGAAGGATTAGCACATTGAATGAGCTTTATATTTTTTTTAATTTTTCTTTGGGATCAGGAATTCATTGCAAAGGCAATAACTATGCCTGGTGAAGGGGAAATAATGGACATGATGGAAGTTGCAGATCCCGATGCTGTTTATGCTGTTCGTTCTTTTATCAGGAAGCAGCTTGCTCATGAACTAAAAGAAGAGCTTCTTAGCACAGTACGATGCATTCTCTCATGACTTGGCAAAATCTAGATATATATGCTTCATTTTTGTTTTTTTTTGGCTTATTGTAGAAAGTTCAAATGTCTCTTGTATCTTTCCCAGGTTGCAAACAATAGGAGCTCGGAAGAGTATAAGTTCAACCATCCTAATATGGCGAGGCGTGCCCTGAAGAATATTGCTCTTGGTCTGTTTTGTCAAAATTTCTAAGAAACACTAGATTTGTTTTGTGAGCTCTTCATGGACTGACTGTGTTTATGGTTTGTTTTACCTATAGCATATCTGGCATCCCTTGAAGATCCAGAGTCTACTGAGCTTGCCCTGCATGAATATAAGTCAGCCACAAATATGACTGAACAATTTGCAGCTTTGGCAGCCATAGCACAAAACCCCGGTAAAGCTCGTGATGATGTTCTGGCTGACTTCTATAACAAGTGGCAGCATGACTATTTGGTAAACTTCTGACTTAATTGCTCTTGATTTGCTTTAGTGAACTCTTCTACTTTTCCAATGTTCTTTCATCCTTCTCTCCGGAGAGTGTATGGTGGGTCTTGAATGGGATCTGCACCTATACAAATTGAACATTCTTTTTGGTGAATTATACTGTTCATAACAAGTAGCTGAAGGGGTTAGGGGACATGAAGTGCATCACCAGATCCCCCTTTTTTTATTCAACAAAAAAAAAGTAGCCATCGTCATTCTTAATGTGTTATTATTGTTGTTGTTATTATTATTATTATTATTATTATTATTATTATTATTATTATTACTACTACGTGTTTGGGTTTAGTAAATTTTGAATTATGTCGTGTTTGAAAACAAAGTTATGTGGTGACGACCATCAATTAAAGTCTTGTTGTTAGATATTTCCCAAGTTAAACTCTACGCTATTTGTAGCTTATAGGCTCCGGCTCATCACAACTAGTGATCCATGCTAGATCGTCTCATTTATATCTGAAATGACATTTTTGCTAACCTTATGATTTGCTGCATCTTTTTATAGTTTTTGTTCTTTTCTGATACAATTTTGTTCTCTGGTGGAAACCTTTTTTGCGCTTTCAACAATAGTTTATTTTCTCTGATTCCTGTTGGGATTCCCCCCCTCCTCCTCTTTATCTTTTAGTTTTTCGTGATTTGTAAAATTATTTTCTTCTCAAATTTTCTTCAGGTTGTAAATAAATGGTTTGCACTCCAAGCCATGTCTGACATTCCTGGCAATGTTGAGAATGTTCGGACCCTCTTAAACCACCCAGCATTTGACCTCCGTAATCCGAACAAGGTATACTCGCTCATTGGAGGTTTCTGTGGGTCTCCTGTGAATTTCCATGCAAAGAACGGCTCAGGCTACAGATTGTTGGGAGAAATCGTTTTGCAACTAGACAAACTTAACCCTCAGGTCCTTTACAGAAGTCTCTTAATCTTGTGTTCTTGTCATTATTTGAATTTTTTTCTTTACATGATTGTGCTATCATTTATTTTGTTATTTAACATCGTCTTTTATTCGGATTGCAGGTGGCATCCCGCATGGTGTCAGCCTTCTCAAGGTGGAGGCGTTATGATGAAACCCGGCAAAATCACGCCAAGGTATACTTTTGCTATATTGGAACATAATTGGAGTTTTAAGTATCAAGATATCCCTTTTACCTCGGAACATAATCTTCATTGAACCATACATATGTTTTAACCGCCATGAAAATGTGTAATGACTTAATAATTATATATGTCCAAGTAGAAGCTCAGCTTCTAATAAAACCCTGCATTACCATTTCTACATCGCAACGGTGATCGAAAGATGATATGGTGTTTGCAGGCACAGCTGGAGAAGATCATGTCCACCAATGGATTATCAGAAAACGTGTTTGAGATTGCCTCGAAAAGCTTAGCTGCTTAAGTCAAAAATATATTTTGGGATGGGAACTTCATACAGTGTATCAGCCACAAGTTTCGGCTCAGAGAAATAGCCATTTTCTGGCTCCTTATGCAGCATCATCTCCTTGGTGTAATATGCTCTGCTATCTACATGCCTGCCAATCCATAGAATTGCATGTTTGCCATAAATTGGTGTACTTTTTTCTGGTTTCTTAGAAACATGTTAAAGCGCTTTGCTGGCGTACTTTCCTTTTAATAAATTATTAAAAAGCTTTCCATTTCTATTTATGTGTCAGAAAGTTTTTGGAAGCACGATTTGCTACTATTGATGAAAAAAGTCAACCTTATATTTGGAAAGGAATCATGGGATAAGTTTAGTATGGAATAAGTTTGGGAGCATTGTTGCTGAGTTGATGATAAACATGATCTTGGATAATGGTTGGTGAACTACAATAAGTGGGACAGAGACTTGAAAGCACAAATCCTGAAAAAAGGGGTAGGCAGAGTTTAGTTCACCTGCATACAAGGCTGATCAATGATAATGCTCAACGTGGCCGAGCTTGTGTGGGGCTTCATAAGCAGAGGCCAAGTTGTTAAATAAAATATAATTTTAAATAAATAAAAATATAGTTTTGTTTGTTTTTGGGTGGTGAAGAAGTATTACTTAAATTTGATTCTTTTGTTGACTGCTCAGTTGAATTGAAACAATAACCTTTTGCCTAAGTTAGGCCATAGTGCTTATCTTAATCACCTAAACTAAGAAAAGTCTTTTTTTTATTTTATTTTAAACATAGTGATAAAAGTCCTCTTGAGCTTTACCTTTTAATTATTTTAGAATAAATGGATGGAGTCTTTCTTTGACTAGCATCTTTTATCAGTTTAAGCTCTTAAACTTCTTGTTCTTTGATAATTTAAACTTTCAAACTTTTTTTCTTTGATAAGTTAAACTTTATTTGCGACCTCAATAGGTATATTTGAATTGCACCAATTTCACATCAAAGAGCAAAAGTAGTTGACATCTTTAGTTCGAGTCTCGCTAGAAAGATCTGAGTCTCGCTAGAAAGATCTCCGGATTTTTCGGCTAATGAGACTCATGAGCTGTGTTATTGTCAGGCAAAAAAAAAAAAAAAAAAAAAAAAATTTATAGCGGATTCAAATAAAGAAAGAAGGGAAAAAAATGAATCTTTTCTTGATTTTTAATTTTTCGTTATTGTATCTCCATTTTTGGAATGACATTATACAAGTTGACATATACATGAATAAAAATAAAAAAAAAAGCCATCTCAATGATTGCGGATATAGGAGGGAACTAACAAACCATGTATATTTGTCCTCAAGAAAGAAAGAAAAAGAAAAAGTATAGTAGAACTACACTTTAACCTATACTTTTTTTTTTTCTAGGTAAAACAGATAAATAGACCATAAAAGCAATGGTTTAACTTTAATTTCATACAAGGGAATCACAACGATACAATCATTCTGAAGATTCAACTGCTGTTTAAGGACTCATTATGAATTTGTTAGGGGGTCAAAAAGCCTTCCATTGCATTCAACGAAAAAACAAATATATATGGCATAGTAAAATGTGAGCTTTTCTGAAATTATGTCTGTTAAATGCATGAAATTATGGTTCTTTTGCAAGTTTAGCTTGAGCAGTTCCACCTTAACGTATGATGTCATATATATATATATATATATATATTACAATATAGGGCACTTGATGCCATGCCCCAAAAAGCATATACTACTTTTAGTTGAAGCTTTTCATGTTCTTCTTTTGCTACCTCCTCCAATCATTTATCTTGCCTCTATTTCTCAAACCAATTCCCTTTTCCCACCCATTGAGAAAGACATTATTCCGCCTTTACCGATTAACATGTGGACCCAATAATACCTAAAGCCTAAGGGATTGATGATTGTGGCTTTCCATGGGACTTAGCGTCAATCTGTAATATTTGAACCATTTTTCTTTGTTTTTAATTTTTCAATTTTATTTTAATGTTTTCTTCTGGCAATTTCATGACCATGGGACTTTTGGAGTAGGACCAACCATGCCACAAGTGATCTTTTATTCACCAAAAGAAGAAGGAAAACAAAAAAAAAATTAAGCATTTACGTGGCCTTTACTTAACTCTATAATCTTATACTTCTCGTAAAATATTGTGAAATATTTTTTTTATCTTTTCTAAATTGAATATTGTTTCTTTTAAAACGAAATAATAACTTTCAAAAAATTTTTTTTTTTTCGTAAAATAGAAATTCGTTCCTCGACTTGAGTTACTATATTCTAATTTAATTTTAAATTAGATTTTTGTTGTACATTCTTATTTCAAATATTTTTTAAACCTTTCTAAATTTAGTGGTTAAAACTTTTCTTATTTTAAATTCCATACAATTGTTGCCGTTATTTTATATCGTATGGATATTAAATGGTCATACAAGATCATTTCCAAAATTATTACCCTTTATTAATTAAAAAGTTCAACTACTCATACTCAAGATAAAAAAATTGATATAAATTAAAGTTCAACTACTCATACTCAGCAATAATAAGGTAGAAGTCAAAACCCAATAGTCAAGGTAAAAAAGTAAGAAGTGAGAAAGAAATGGAAAATATTATAACCCTTTATTAATTAAAAAGGTTTCTTTTGATATCTTTTTTTTTGGTCAAGTTTCTTTTGATATCTGAGAAAGGAAGGCTTTGGGGACACGTCACACAAAAATCAGAAAGATTATCATTATTATTATTATTTAAAAAAAGGGCCATGGCAATTGTAAATGAGAGGTGGAACAAGCATTTTTAGTAAAAAAAAAAAAAAAAAAAGAAGAAAGAAAGAAAAGAAAAGAAGAAGAAAAAGAAAGATCACGGAGTTATTAGTTCATAAAGTTGGAGGGTAAAAGTGAGAAGAATTTTGGAAATGTGGGACCAAGATCTCTGAGATAGTGGCGGACTTGGGCACGGAAGCCATCATTGACAAAGGCGACGCCCGCACGCGCGCTCTTTGACCAATTAACGCTGCGAGCCAATAAATTTCTTCATCAACAAAAAGACAATTATTAATTCCCAACTGTATAACTATTGTTATTAATCCCACGATAATAATTGTTGTCCTATTGCTTTTACCAAACTAGCCTCAGTACACGAGAAAATTTACAAGCCGGCAGAATGCAAAACTTTATATATACTTTCGTTCTTTTTAGATAATAATAAGGGCTTATTATATTAACATCATTGTGTTTTACTAAAACAAAAGTGACACCTCTTGACCAAACATAATTACACCAATACCTCTTAAACTTAACTATGTTAAATTTAGACAAAAATATCTATTAAATATCAGCCATTGATCTAAAAAAATCAGATCTCAACCCCCTATATTCACAAGTTCCTAGTTGAACTAAAAACCCATTACCAGCCCTATCCCTCGGCCACCCCCGTGACCGTCCAGCTCACCAAAGCCGTCGTAGACGCCAACGCCGTTTTGCCCCGAGCCTTCGTCCGTGTCCCAAACCCCTAACCGAAACTAATAATAATGATAAAATAATAATAATAATAATAATAAAGCATCATGTATGATTGATAATCTCTATTGATATTATTTAATTAGAATATCCAATTACATTAAATTTATGTCAGGATAAAATATATATAAACTCGGAAGAATATGATGAATATATGATGCAATATCATATTTTTTGTACTTCTCATACAATATAATCAAAATAAATCTTCTATAACAAGAGATCCATATCGATGTTGTGTAATTTCAATTTGAAGAAATATGATGAAGATATGATATTTTGTTGAAGCTATAATAATATAGAAGGATACTAATAACAATTAATTATTATTATTATTAATACTGCCAATATAGCGTAGCAGATAAATGGCATGGTAGAATCATGGGGTTATTTTCGTAAAATTGTGTGATAGATAATACTGAGATATACATGAACGAAAAGATTATTAAAAAGTGTTCTGGTATTATAGCGAGGAAAAACAAGTCATTGCCGTGTTTGACCTCCAAAGCCTCTTCGCACCAAAAAAACTCCAAATAATAATATAAATATTAAATCAAACACGCAAAATAAAGACTAAAAATAATGTTAAAGATCTCATCATAAACAGATCGAGATTTCGATTTCGTATTAATATAGCAATTCATTTTCACTTTGGTTTGTGAATCAGAATTCCAAATTTCTTCTGAATCTTGCTCATCAATCTTCAAGAGTTCTTCTCTCGTTTGTTTCTCGAGAAAATTCTGGTGCTTTCTTCGCCGAGAAAATCAAATGAAAAACGAAAAATTTCTGTGAGGAGTGAAGCGGAAATTTGTTCAACAAGGATAGGAGATGAGAGGCGCGAGTGGCGGAGGAGACTCGAGAACCATGAACAACGCCTTGGAAACTATAAACGCCGCCGCCACTGCAATCGCCATGGCGGAGAATCGTGTTCCTCAAGCCACGGTTCGGGTAAATTTTCTCTCTTCGTGTATAAGTTGGAATCATCGCTCTGTGAAATCTTTCTCTTTTTATAGTTGTTTCTTTGATTTGATTGTGTTTTGTGATCAATTCGAGTTTGGAATGTTTGATTTACGATATAAGTCTTAGCTATGGTGGAATTCATATCAGCTTGATTTCAACGTTGAGTAAATTCTCGCTTTCTTTCAATAGAAAGGATGGTTTTTTGGTTTGTTACTTTTAAATTATGTTTCAGTGTGAAGTTCTGAACTCATCACTGTTTGGTAGTAAAGCTTTGATTTTTTTTAAGTGATTTATAAGTAAATATATTGAAATGCTCTGGTATGATGGAAAAATAATGTTTTTAGGAATCGAGTTTTGGCATCAGAAGGTCTTCTAATGATTGATATTATCACTCTAGATACAGAGGGAAGTTGAGTTTTTTTTGTGCTAAAAGTTGTGTCATTTTCTGTCATACAGAAGAGAAGGTGGGGTGGCTGCTTGAGCATATATTGGTGTTTTGGAACTCCAAAAAACAGAACGCGAATTGGGCATGGAGTTCTTGTACCAGAAACAGCACAACCTGGAAACAGCGCTCCAAGAGCCGAAAATTCAACCCAAACGCATGCAGTTATACTTCCCTTCATTGCTCCTCCCTCTTCACCTGCATCTTTTCTCCAATCGGAACCTCCTTCGGCCACACAATCGCCAGCCGGTTTGCTTTCACTCACTTCTGTCTCTGCCAGTATGTACTCCCCGGGCGGGCCTGCTTCAATTTTTGCCATTGGCCCTTATGCCCACGAAACGCAATTAGTGTCACCACCCGTCTTCTCAACCTTCACAACTGAACCGTCAACTGCTCCTTTCACCCCTCCCCCCGAGTCTGTGCATTTGACGACACCTTCCTCACCCGAGGTTCCGTTTGCACAGTTGCTTGACCCAAATATCCACAACGGTGAACCTGGTCAGAGATTCCCAATATTCCACAATGAATTCCAGTCTTACTATTTCCAACCTGGAAGCCCTATTGGCCAACTTATATCGCCAAGCTCGGGCATCTCAGGTTCTGGTACATCTTCTCCTTTTCCCGATCCAGAGTTTGCTGCACGTGGTCCTCACTTCCTCGAGTTCCGGACAGGTGACCCTCCGAAGTTATTGAACCTCGATAAGCTCTCCAAATTTGATTGGGGCTCGCGACAAGGTTCTGGTTCTTTGACCCCAGATTCAGTGAAGCCCATATCTACATTTGAGGTTGCACCACACCTGAAACCCAATGGCAGATGCCGCAATGCTGAAAATGTTGCTGACCGGAGAGTCTCTTTTGACGTAAGCACAGAAGATGTTATAAGATATGTGGAAAAGAAGACCGTCCCATTGGCTGAAGCTATGTTAACATCTTTAAAAGATACTACAATGGGTCAAAGAGAAGAGAATTCGGATTCCAACAAAGTGGAAGAAATTGGTTGCGAGAATAGAGTTGGTGAGACATCCAATGAAGAGCCAGACAAAGCTCCAACGAGCGGGGAGGAAGTACTGCAGCACCAGAAGCATCGATCCATCACTCTCGGTTCTTCCAAAGAGTTCAATTTTGACAATGCCGACGCTGGCGATCTACACAAGTCGGATAGCGTCTCTGACTGGTGGGCCAATCAGAAGGTTGCTGGGAAGGAGGGTGCACCTTCTCAAAATTGGTCTTTTTTTCCCATGATTCAGCCTGGTGTCAGTTAACTTGTATGGTTGGTTGCACTTGAACTTGATGCTTCCCTCTCCGCGGAGCAGGATGATTTGGTTATGCAAACCAACAATGCCACAATAGGCTCAGATTTTATAGACAATTTTTTGGTTTCTAAAATCAGAAAGTGAATAACCCGTAGAAACTAGAAAGTATCAGTGCAGGAATTACAGGCTATTTTTGTACATTGTGACCTCAAGACAGGGGAAAGGATTGTTCTAAGACTGGGGGTAGTGTATAATTTTTATCTTAGGCGCAAGTAGAAAGCAGGTTAACGGTAACTTCTTGCTATCTATGATTTTATGCCCATCTCTTTTTAACAGAACTAAACAATTGTGTAATACAAATAATGCTCTTATCCAGTGGTTGTATTTCTGTATACAGGGAAAGAGGTAAAACAAAAGTGCAAAGCTTGTTGTTAATCGCATCTTTTTCAGTTTTTGGCTGCTAGATATTCCAACATGAGAAGTTGATGTAAAATATAGGGATTAATTGAAGTGACATTCGTTTTTTATATACTATTATAAATATGGGTTTTGCCGAAAAGGTTGTTGTTGTTGTTGTTGTTGTTTTTGTTTTTGTTTTTTTTGTTTGTTTTGTTTTTGTTTTGCTCTTTCTATCTATAAAGATAAAGCTGTATCTGGACGAAGACAAAACGAGTCTCATCACACGTGTTGTTCTAGAATTCAACTATTTGGCACCTAATAGAAGGAACGAAAGAGGAAGAAATTCTTTTCAAGCAAAAAAAAAAAAGAAAAAGAAAAGAAATTCTTTCCTTCGAGCCAGTTAATTGGGTCGGGTTTGTATAAATCTATTTATTAATCATGTTAAAAAATATCAATTTTAATATGACATATTTATTAAATGTGTTAAAAATATCAACTTAAACGTGATTAATTTATTAATTGTGTCAACCCGTATAAATTATTAAAATTAATATATTGAATAAATAACTAATATAATATTAACTTATTTAACACGATTAAGATATATTTAACATGTTTATTAATTAATTTATCTTTTTTTAAGGAAAATAAATGAATTTTACCTACAAATATTAAAATTCACATTATTTATATTTAATATATTATAGAAACTTTCATATTATATGATATATCATTAGATTATAGATGATACATATAATTAATCATGTCAATTTATATCACTTCGTGTTAAGAGATCAACTTAAAACTAACTCATTTATTAATCGTATTAATTTAATTATAATATAAACTCATTTATAATAAATTTAAATTCATTGACGGATCGGATTGCAAGCTCTAGAACTAGTAAATGCCTGTACGATTTCAGAAAACCCAAACAAATGGAAAAGAAGCTTCTTTTATTGTGCCATTCACAAATTCTTTGTCCTTTTCTTGGAACTGCGCCATCTTAATTTGAGCTGACTTTTGACGACTGTATTTTAAGGCATCCGAGTACTAAGTTCTTGCAGGAACCTTCCTGGAATTGGGCAAAAGAAAGAGAATGTTCCTTAAGGTCAAATACAAGCCACTTAGGGGTTGTTTTTTTGGAGTGTAATTTGAGTGTAATTTTTGAGTTGAATTTGAGTTATAACTTGAGTTGAAGTTGTAACTTGAATAAAGTTGAGTAAAATTGAATAAAGTTAAAACTTAAAAGAACATGAACTTGAATAAAGTTGAAACTCGAGTTATCTTTTTTTGAGTTTTTTAGACAAAAGAACAACCCCTTAATTTCATTGATCTAGAATGTCCTTCGTCAGCAACATAAATTATCATTAACAACATCGACTCTCCCACGCCCGCCCCCCCCAAAAAAAATCACAATTCTGTAATAAAACGAGCATATGGGGATGTAGCTCAGATGGTAGAGCGCTCGCTTAGCATGCGAGAGGTACGGGGATCGATACCCCGCATCTCCACTGTGTTGCGGTTTTATGCTATTATTCTCCACCATAATTTTAAACGACATAGGAAGATCAAACGACAACTTTACAAGAACGAGAAGAAAAGGCAAACGACAATGTAATGACGAAATAGAAAATACACCAACCGTATTGGAAATGACAAAGATATGATCAAGCCACATTTATAAGGAAACGACAACCGTATAGAAAATGGCATTGACTTGCAAACGACATCGACCCAAAAACGACTGTGAAAAAAGCCCATAATATAACGTAAAGAGGCGACATTACAAGGAAAACAACAACAATGACAAACGACAACGTGCATAGGTTTTAAAAATAACAATAATAAAAACATATTTACCTGAAACAACTACAATTATAAGAAACAATAGTTACATAAAACTAATAATTGTAACCATGACACAGAAAACTAAAATAATTTTAATACGACAACAAAGAAAAAGGAAAAATTAAGAAAAATGACAATCACGTAGAAACACGATGTGAATTAAAAACGACATCAAAATCTAAAGGATGAAGAATGTAAGGCGAAAGCGACAAATGAGAGAACAAGATGAAGTATATAAAACGACATGAACAGTAAAAGAACAATTAAAAAAATTAATGTGAAAGCCACAATAACAATAAGAAACGACATCATTTAAAAAAACAAACGAGAAAATTACTTATTGGCATAAACGACAAAGAAAAAAAAAAGGAAACATAAGTGAATAAGACTAACAATATCAAACCACATCTAGAAGAAAATGTTGTTAACATGAAAAAAACGGCAGTAAGTGCAAAGCGACAACGTAACCCAAACAAACGACATCAGCTGGAAAACGAAACATATGGAATTGGAATCTGCATAAATGAAACCCAAATCAAATAATTTCTCACACAAAAAAGAAAAGAAAAAAAAAAGTCAGTTTGAGTTGTCGATTTGTGAAAAATAGGTTGCCACCCTTCTTTATGAAAGAAGAGTCAGTCCCAACTAGATTAGCAAAAAAAAAGTCGCTCGTAACTAATTAACAGTCCAAGTTGGACGGCTACAATTTTATTTCCATCTATTTTTATTTAACATTTTTCTAGTAACGTATCATTTTGACCAAAGAACGTTCGTAATTAACCACGTTTTCTTGTGTAAGACCCAAGAAAAAGCCAACCCCATATCTTTGACCTTCTAGAAATCCTCTCTCTTTCTCTCTCCTCTTCATCACATATATATAAGCCCCAACCCTTTTCCTGTCAAAGCACAACCGCCGCCATCTCCGCCGATCGCCGTCACTTCTTTGTTTCTCTTTCCTCCATTTTTGCACAAAAATGCCACCTTTCGGAGGTTCAGTACCTTCTTCGTACGGCTCCAACAGCAGCAACAGCTCGGATTCCAACATCATCACCATCGATGTTGGCGGTCAGCTCTTTCAGACCACCAAGCAAACCCTAGCCCTCGCCGGACCAGACTCGCTCTTCGCTAGGGTGTCGGAGCCGCCGATTTCTTCGTCCCATCACAGCGTCCCGTTCGTCGATCGCGACCCGGAGCTCTTCTCGGTCTTCCTCTCTCTCCTCCGCACAGGTAATCTTCCGTCGAAAGCTAGGGTTTTCGATATCCAGGATTTGATTTTCGAGTCCCGATTTTACGGAGTCGAGGATCTTCTGATCAATTCGGTGTCGAATCCCTCTCAATTCGAGGCGTATAACCTCGAGAGGTCCGCGATTTTGTCGATGAACGGCCGGGACTCACCGTCGGCGATCGTGACGACGCCGTTCGGGTCGGTCCACGTCGCGCACGGGAGCAAAATCACGTCGTTCGATTGGTCTCTGAGGAAGAAAAGGACGATCTTGACGCAGTTCGCCGCCGTGGATTCGATGCTGGCGATTTCTCCCTCCGTGGTCGCCGCCGGTGCGACGGACTTCTCCGGTCTCCAGATTCTCGACCTCGAGAACGGCTCCGTCAAGAAGACTCTGAGTTGGGAGAACGTGACCAGGTCTAGCTCAACGGTCCAAGCAATTGGATCGAATCAGGAGTCTCTCTTCGTGAGCTTTGAATCAGGTCGGAGGAACTCGAATTCCATTGTGGTTTATGATTTGCATAGCTTGCGTCCGGTGACCGAGATCGCTCACAACGAGATTTATGGCGCTGAGATCAACTCCGCAATCCCGGCAACAAAACTGAACTGGGTTTCTGGAAACAGCCTTTTAATGGCGTCTGGTTCCCACAGCGGTCCTTCAGGAGTGTCGGGAAACATAAAGTTTTGGGATGTTAGGTCCGGGAATATCGTTTGGGAGCTAAAAGAGAATGTCGATTGCTTCTCTGATGTTACTGTTTCGGATAACTTGTCATCAATGTTCAAGGTTGGTGTGAACTCAGGCGAAGTTTTCTTCGCGGATTTGAGGAATTTGGGTGCTGAGAATCCGTGGGTTTGTCTCGGGGATGGTAGAATAGCGTATAATGGGAAGAAGGAGGGTGTTGGGTGCAAGATTGAGAGCCATGGAAGTCAAGTGTTTTGCAGTAAAGCCGGGGATATTGAGCTCTGGTCAGAGGTGGCAATGGGGTCCGTGAAGAACAGCGAAGATGAGTTGGGGGAGAGAGTGTTCAGGAAGAACTTGATGGGGAAAATGAAGGACATGGGCGGCTCCAGGATAACCAATTTGGCTTTTGGAGGTAATAAGATGTTTGTAACAAGGAAGGATCAGCAGAGTGTTGAGGTTTGGCAAAGTTCATCTGGGGGATTTTGATTGATTTTGCTATATAGATCAATTATATTGTTAAAAAATGATCTTGTAATTTGTAAATAGAGTTCTTTGTTTGAATTATTTGTGTCTGATGTTGTAATTTATCAGGCCTTTGATTCTTTATACATTCATTTTTTTTTAAGAGTCAGTTTTCGAATAATTTCTCTATAACATATGTTTGTGCCATTGTATCTTTGCTAGAATTCTGTTCTGTTTTCATCACAGCAGGATTATGTTTTGATTTAAGGTGTGTGGTGCTTACTGATTTGTTCTGTGGCATTTGTTACTCTTTTTACCTACATTCTTTTGGTCAATCTTCATTCTTGTAAAGCATGCATTAGATGTTATTGGCTTTCTTGTAAAGCATGCATTAGAGGTTATTGGCTTTCTTGAAAGGACGAAGAAATGAATTTGGTATAAGAAAAGTCTCAAGCGCGAGCTTAAGAAAGGGGTTAATTTCAATAATAGCACTTCTCAATAAATAATTATTAATTTTAGTACTTTTACAATTAGTATTGTCATGTTAGCAGTGTAAAGTAAAATGACTTCTATGCCACGTAAGTTAAAATTATCATTTAAAAGCACTTTAAAGAAACTCTCAACTCTTTCTCGCTCATTCTCTCACTCTTTACACCTCATTTTCAGTTCTCTCTCTTTCTCTCAAGTTTAGTCTCTCTCTCTACTCGGTCTCTCTTTTTCCTACGTCCTTATTCTCTCGTCACCAATACTCCGGTTGTGCACAGATCGAGGTTGGTACACAATTTTTTTTTCTTTTATCTTTGTCTTTTTAAATTTATTTTTTAGAAGACTTAGTATATAGAATTTAAAAAAAAATGATTGGGTTGAACTTAATGTGATAGGAATTGAAAATATCCATTGTCAATTTGAGATTTTAAATGGTTTATAATTAATATGTAAACTGATTGTAACGACCAACACGTCAAAAACATAGTTGACCTTGAGAGTCATAGTATTATGACTCATAGTGTTATATGTTCGGTCATAATACTATGATCAGTCAGTCATAACAGTATGAGTCATTATCTCTAAGTTAAATTATAACAATATGAGTCAAAATGGCCGGTCATAGTATTATGACCGTAAGGCAGTCATAGTGATATGACCATCCGGTCATAATATTATGACTGAAATGACTCATAGTGTTATGACTGACACACTATGATTGCCTTATGACCGGCCATTACACAGTGTTATGACTGGCCATTTCTAATGATTCGATGACGACTAGGAGTAATTGCATGTTGATTAATAGTTATTGTTTTTGAATTATTTAGGAATGGCTGCTTGATTGAACGTTTTCATCAAGTACAATGGATATTAGGACCGTGTTTCAAGATACGTCAATTGTGAAATGAAGGGGATATTGGTCCCCACCAACACAACTTATATTGATTTTATAGATTTGGTGAGAATGTGCTTGGGATTCGGTCACAAGGAAAAAGTTTATCCTTAAGATAGTGTTGTTGAAGACGGGAAAACTCTTGTGAAGATATCTTCTGACTATGATGTCAGATTCTATCAACGACATCTCTTCCTCCAAAGCCTTTCTTTTCTTCTAAGATGACAAAAAATGGTAAAAAAAAAAACAATAAATACAAAAAAAAACCAAGAAAAGCAAACAAAGTTGTTAACAAAAGTATTATGACTAAGACACTAAGAGTCTGACCATTGAGCAATCATAGTACTATGACCGACGGTCGTAATTCTATGACCGCCCATCATGTAGGCTCACTCATAGTGTTATGACTGATGGTCGCCCATAAAAAAAGTACTGTGACTAGCACACTAAAAGTCTGACAATTGTGCGGTCACATTACTATGACTGAGGGTCATAATGCTATGACCGCAAGGCAGTCCCACTATGAGCCTAATAATTATGCGGTCACATTACTATGACCGATGGTCATAATGTTATGACTGCAGGCTCATCAGTCAGACAATCGCACTATGCGCATGCCTGCCTAATGGGTGGTCATAGTAATTATGACAGTCGGTCATATTACTATGACCGTACTTATGACCAGTCATAATAAAATTACCAAGCGGTCATAATAATATGACTAGCCATCAAGCAGAGTCACAGACCAAATAAGGAGCACAATGAAAATCCAATGACCCCCAAAAATTTTAAATAATTGACCTTATCTGCTTTTATCTCCTCCTCCAAAGCCTTTTTTTTCTTTTAAGATGACAGAAAATAGTAAAAGGAAAAAAACAATAAATACGTAAGAGAGAAAAAAAACAAATAAACAAAAAAAACCAACAAAGTTTTCACTTTTGTCTCGGAATTCGCCATTGACCTTGTCTGTTTCGTGGCTGATTTATTCGGCGAAGAGGGGGAGGTTTTCTCTGTTCGTTCTTCTCCGACGAAGAGGTTTAGGCGTTGATTTCTCTGGTGGAGGTTCGTCCGTTCTCGTCGTGTGATTGCGTGGGTTCTCGCTATCGTGGGTTCATTGGTGCTCAAGGTGGTAAACGGTGGTAGACGAGACGATGGTGGTCGTTGGGGTTTCTTGGTCTCTGTGCACACCCGCGTTCGTTTTCCTCCTGCTCTCTCTACTTTGAACATTTGAATTATAAAAGCCTTCATAATATATATTTATATATATATATATATTAAATGCTTTAAAATTAAAATGGGAAACAATTGTCATTTTAACTCAAATAAAACTGATAAAGTCCCACTTTTATTGAATGATGATGCTAATTGTGAAAATATATAAAAATAAAAATAAAAATAATAATTATTTATTCAAGAGTCATATTATTAAAATTAATCCGCTTAGAAAATAGAAAGTACTCATTCGCCAGTTCCTTGTAACAACTTCACAGGCCCTTCACAAAAAAAAAAAAAAAAAAAAAAAAAAGAAGAGAAAACACACACGCTTTCAAAGGCCTGGCCCTTCACTTACATGAAGCCTTTGAATCACAAGCCCATCGGCATAGCATAGTAGCATGATATGTCTCTATATAGACAATTCAGAGAAACACGGTACATTATGGCTTATGCTATACATTATCACCACAATAGATACAATAGTATATAAGCAGTAATAAATTAATACAGGGAAAAGAATCTCACACTGTTAGAAAAAGCAAGAAGAAGTAAAGGTAAAAAAAAAAAGAAAAGAGAGAGAGTTTCAACCAAAATACGTATCGGAAAATAATAGAAAATATATCAATATAAAAAACTTAAGAAAGTATATAGGCAAATTTTTAATTATAGAAATTAATAGGTCATAACTTATCAAGTTATGATTTAAAATCAGATAAGTTATGGATAAACTTGTCAAGTTATGGTTTATAGCCAGACAAGTTATAGACAATTATGGACAATAACTTATTAAGTTATGGTTCATAACCAGACAAGTTATGGACGAAAACAGTAATTTGACCTATTTATTAACTTATGTAAACTATTGACTTATTAATTTTAATTCATCTCAAGTCTTGACCTATTTTCCTCTTTCTCCCGTAAGTATTTTAGTTGAAACCCAAAATAATAATGGCCAAATTTACAAATTTAAGTTAATAATTTTAATTATAAATTTAATTTTTGTGAGAGAATTCATTGACGAGACTTTAGAATTATGAGTTCACGTACAGGTCTTTAGAAAAAATTCAAAAGCATCTCCCGAATTTTATCAAAATACTATCCAAAAGATTTAACTAATAACATAGTATACTTTTACGTTGGTACGGGAAGGCATACAGCTAAAACTTTACATATTATTTACAGAAATGGATACATAAATTATGACAAAAAATTTAAACAAATATTATATGTGCAAAGCAATAATTATATGTTCTCATTATGACAAAAATGATGTGCATTATGAACATAAATGAAATGAAAACTTTATGATTTGTATTAAACGTTAAATATTTGCCTTAGAAAAAACGTTGAACATTTGAAAAAAAAAAAATTGAGTAAAGAAATTTTAAAAAACTGCAAAATATGCAGGAAAGTGATAATGGTGAAGAAGTTAAGGGCTTGTTCTTTTAAAGTTTAACTTGAGTATAATTTTTAAGTTGAATTTGAGTTATAATTTAAGTTGAAGTTATAACTTGAGTTTGTGTTTGGTTGTGTATATTTGAGTTATGGTTTGAGATAAGAATCTTTTTGAATTTGTGTTTGAGTGAGTCAAAACTTAAATTTATATTTAGATAATATTTTAATAAAAACTCAATACTGATGGAAAATTCTAATAGGATATATGGGTGGGGTTTTATTCATTTTTTCGTTGTTAACGCATAGAAAAAAAATCATCTCAATCAAAATTAAAACGAAAAAGTTATAACATTTTTAAGAATAGAAAAAATACTATTCATTAATTTGAGTTTGAGTTTCTGAACTCGAGTTGAAGGGAAAATTTGAACTCAAATTTTAGTCCCAAACTCAAATACAAACTTAAAAAAATATAAATTCAAATAAAGTTATAATTCAAATCGTCTTTTTTTGAGTTTTTGACTCAAAAGAACAAGTCATAAATCATTTCAATTGCAATGACAAGTCAAACAAAACATTTTATTTAAAAATTAATTATCAGATAAAGAAAAGGCTGAAATCAAATCAAATCAAATCTATTACAAAAGAAAGGTCAACATGCAAAATAGATTGAGAAAAAATTCGCCCACAATTACAGCAAAAATCACTGTATAAGGAATGCGTACAAAATAAACAATAAAACCCAATATTACACGTTCCTTATTATTTAAAAGCGATATTTTTGTAATATTATATACAAGTAGACATTTTTAAATTCAGGACTTAATAACATAGATATTTTATGTAATTATCGCTTTTCCCTATCTTGTCAAATGAAAAGTCTAATCCAAAAATTCGACCATAAATTTTACATAATAACAAAACCTTAACCCAAAAGTCGACCATTAAATTTTACATAATAACGAACTGATCCCTGATTTGGGAAAAAAGTTTTCATATTAAAGATTTAGCATCATTACACCGGCATTTCACAACTGCTCACCAAATTAACCTACCAATACCATGTCCTAATCTCGAGCACTAATGGGCTTGTGTTATATACGCACATACAAAAGCAATATATAAAAATTTGACAAAATAAGACATGAATATATATATATATATATATATATATATAGTTGGAAAATGACTTGTTAAGCCATATTAAAGGCCTAGTAAGGCCCATT